GGAGGTGTCTCTGGTGCAAAGCCATGGTGAGACTCACACACACACACACACACACACACACACACACACACACACACACACAAAAATAAAGCCTTTTTCTGAAAAGGTCCCTCGTAAATATCTTGTCAGGACTGCCTCACAGATTGCTGCTGTGAAGCTGAGTGTGAGTTATTCTGACTAGTGTGTGTTTGTTGTGTTCGCAGGCTGGTAAGAGAAGTGACAGGTGTTAATGTGAACATGCGGGTGGGCATCCACAGTGGGCGCGTTCACTGCGGCGTGCTGGGCCTGCGCAAGTGGCAGTTYGACGTCTGGTCGAACGACGTGACGCTTGCCAACCAAATGGAAGCCGGGGGCAAAGCGGGGTGAGTACCTCCCCGTTCCGCCTGCTCCTGCATTGAAGTTTCCTCTGACAGGCGCCRACTTCTGTTTGTGCAGACGCATCCACATCACCAAAGCCACGCTGCAGTACCTCAACGGAGACTATGAAGTAGAGCCGGGGTTTGGAGGGGAGCGGAACGCTTACCTGAAGGAGAACAACATTGAAACCTTCCTGGTGCTCGGCTGCACCCAGAAAAGGGTAGCTGGCACGGTCGAATGTGTTCCTGATTGTCTGCCTGACCCACTTGAAAATGTCACATAAGCGCCAGATTTCACACACACCGTAAAATAGCTTGTCACCTGGCTTAGAGAAGTGTATTTGTGGTGTTTATTTTCCCCTTTCAGAAAGAAGAAAAAGCCATATTGGACAAGTTGCAGCGAGAACGCACCAATTCTGCAGAAGGACTGATGCCGCGATGGGCGTCTGATCGAACATTCTCCAGAACAAAGGAGTCTAAAGTCTATAAGAAGATGGTGAGAAACACTTACAGTAAGACAGTGCAGGGCATCTTCTTCACTTTTATACTTGTTTTCCTGTGCCATCCTCGCCACTATCTGTAATATAATCTAAATATAGTTTTATTTGGTTCAGCAGCTCCTAATAGACAATATTTGTCTTTTATGGTCATAAAGTCAGAGAGCTTGTGGAATCCAGTACACTAGAAGAAAAATCTAACACTCATAATTTTTTCACAGGTCAGTTACATGTTAATTTGGCACAGAGATGCTGTTATTGCATGTTGTGTTATAAAGGGGAGGATACACTGAAKATCTTCTGTCAGGAGCTGAACTTTTGGTTTGTGAGTGGAGATACATACAAACAATGTTAGTTCCACCCTGTAGGTTGACAGGATTTATTGAGCAATAGACCCAATATTAATGTTGAGTTGAACTATAGCCCTTATTTAGGCCTTGATATCGCCGTCTAATTTTAGACTGCGTTGAACTCATCTACATTTATGATCATTAAAACGCCATTTTTCTTCTGTAAGATTTCAACAAGAAGGTTGTTTTTATTTAATCAAACGTTGTTCGCTACTTTTCACATTCCACACTAATACCATCCCTACTTCTCAGTCAAGCTTTTTAAAAATTTTCATGCTCTTAGGAATTTTCATCCTCTCAGCCACAATTTTTGAACACGTTTTAGAGCCTGGTGTTATTACCACGGACAGTACTTGGTGGGAAAAGTGACCATATTTAGACTTAAAAGTGAAGCTAAAGGTTGATATTTAAAGAAAATATAAGTATTTTCTTTCTCTACATCTAATATCTGCTGAACTGTATGATTAGTTTTAAAAGATTTAGAATAAATTTAGTCAAATGCATACTATTGTGTTGCCAAAAAAATGTGTAGACTCACTATTTTATTTGAGTGGTTACACCTTAAAGCCGACATTGACTTTACTTCTCAGACCTTTTTAAAAAATTTAACATTTTTTATATCTACTATATGTGCAGATATAATAAGACTTGTCAGATAAGCATATTTTAACAAGCAAACACGCTAATGATGATGATGATAATAACAGAAAACATCCCTGCTCAGCAACGTTAGCATTGTTTTTGTATGTAGAATGTTATCATGTTAAAAATGTGGCTCAGCCTGTTTGTCTTGTTTTTCTCCCATATATTCTGAAATCTACCAATCTTTTTTGTTGTTTGAATCAAATTTTAACATTAACTTGGTGCAGTGGTGAGACTGTCGTCTTGAGATCAAAAAGTCACAGGTTCGATTTCCCTCTCATGTTGCGGTGTCCTTGAGCAAGACGTCTAATCCCTAACTGCTCCCCGGCTGCGTAAATATCTGCTCCACTTGGGTGCATCTCGTGTGTGATGATAACAACACGTCTCATCATTTCAGTGATGTTATCAATTCTGACATCACTGACTTATCTTTTCTTACAGGTGAATGTTTGGTAAAATACCTTCAGACTGATTATGTTTATTTATTTATTTATTTATTTATTTATTTATTTATTTATTTATTTATTTATAACACAATAAGCATAAACATCAACAATTATGCAACAGTTCAAAACAAAACTGAACTAAAAGACTTAACACCATGAAAGTAATGACAATTTTCAAACATACAGACTTTTACACAAACATTTTTAAAAATATATAATAAAAAAGAGACAATAATGTGTCAGTTGAATGAAGGGGCAATTAATTAATTAATTAATTAATAGAGAAATACCAATCCAAAATGACAAGAAAAATCTGAAAATGCATAAAGTGAAATGCAAAAAGTAAAAAAAATGAACAAACATATTTATATACTGTTTTCAAATCTACAACAAATATTTGAGATGCAAATACTTTGAAGGGCTAAAATAAATAAATAAACTGGACTTATCTGTGGCATCAGTTTATTATTGGATCGTCTGTAAGTTTGAGGTATTTGAGAAATTTATTCCAGGCATCATGAAATCATCTTTTAACGACATCATCAGACTGATTTTAGACAGCACTCTGTTTAAAATGAATCTGAGCACCAAACATGTCCACATGTCCTCAGAGCCTGCAGCACTAGACAATYAGGGACAATGGAAATGTGAGGAGAGTCATTGATTTGTTTAGTTCAAACCGTCAGGAGTCACAGCGGGGCTCAGAGGGACTCCTGGTTCATCATGTTTAACCTGGTTGAAGCTGCAGCTGCAAGATATTTTTCTGATCCTTCATTTTTCCTCACTTTACCCCGTTTCTCTCTCTCTCTCTCTCTCTCTCTCTCTCTCTCTCTCTCTCTCTCTTCCTAAGCTTGAAGTCTCATTTCCTTTTATTTCCTGCATTCTTTCTCCTCTCCGCCTTCTCCTCTGTCCTTTCCATCTCAGAGGGTTTGAGCCCTGGGGGCAATGAGGGTGTAATTTGAAGCCTCCAAGCATTAATTAAAACATCAGTCTGGCTCACGGGGATTAACTGTGCAGATGTCTCAGACATTGTCTATTTTTCAGTTTTACTCTTAACGGCACAATAACAAATTCCCCTTCTCTTTTTTTTTCTCCTCCAACATGTTTTGGGATTTATGCTCTCTGTTTTTTTGTTTTCTTCTCAGGGCATCGAAGCAGCRTCCAGCAAAGAAAAGTGAGTATTTCAACCCCAGTTTTTGTTAATAGGGGCAGCTCACAGTTGTTATTAGAGGTTGTCTGGCAGACTGTCACTGTAGATCTTTCACTTTGGAGCCTGCTGTTAATTTTATTTAGTCAAAGCCCACACAGCACTAATAYCAGATTAGCCCTGAGTCTTCCTGCCTGTCACAACCTCCATCCTGCAGTTCCTGACCAAACTCAAAGTGACCTGTTCTGTGTCTCTCATAGCCGCTGTGTTCAGGAGACTTCGAATCCAGAGGATGAGGTGGACGAGTTCCTCAAGCGGGCTATCGACGCGCGCAGCATCGACCAGCTGAGGAAGGATCACGTCAAGAAGTTTTGGCTCACCTTTCAGAAACCCGACCTCGAGAAAAAGGTTCATGTTTGATGAAGGAAAAACTCTGCATAGTTATGAAATTTTGGTGTTTTTTTAATTGAGACTAACCGTGATGCCGTCTTTTTTTAAAAAAACTTTGTATTTCTCAGTATTCCAAAAAGGTTGACGATCGTTTGGGAGGATACGTGGCCTGCACTCTCGGTGTCTTCTTTTTCATTTGTTTCATTCAGATAATCATTTTCCCAAAGTAAGTGATGCGTCCAGAAAGTTGTCTCTCTGAGTTTGCACTGAATTGCGGTCAGGAAATGTGTTTTAGATTCGTTTGGGAGGAGTTAACGAGGGCTGTACATCCTAACGAGCCTCCTTTCTTCTCTTCCACAGAACACCACTTATGCTCGGTCTTTACATCAGCATCTTCATCATCCTCGCCAACATCCTTTTTATCTGTTCCATCTATTCCTGCATTAAAGTAAGGAACAAAGCCCTTCGGCACTTACATGGTTCCCTCTGGCAGATTTTTCCAGATAAGGGTGCTTATTACATGTCCAGCATCACTCATAATGATCTTCTTGTTTTCTGTGCTGAAGCGCTTCCCAGCTGCCTTTCAGACTCTTACCAAGAAAATAATCCAGTCCCGATCAAACAGCACACTGGTGGGCGTCTTCACCATCCTCCTCCTCTTCATCTCTTCCTTTGCTAACATGGTAGGCAACAGAGATCTTTGTTTAGTGGTTTTGGAACATAGGAAGCAGTTGTTTCACACGAACATGTTGTTTCAAGATGTTCCACGGCATGAATTGTGAAAAACGAACCTTCTGTGTTATATTTTGTTTGTTCTTTCACATTTTTTCTCCCTGCACATGTTGCTGATCCCCCACCTTTTTTTTAATTTGAAGAAATTCTGAATTATTTTGGCTTTAAAACCAGAACCGTTTCCCATGGGGGATTACAGGCATCTGGGTTTAATTTCATAAGATATCACTGTAGCCAGGAATTAAATCGGGCAATAACTCTCCAGGGCTCAAACCCGGCACATATGCTTTGTTATCATAGTTAACCTAACGTATACAGATTTTTTTCAGACAGTTATTATATAGAGCAAGTTTAACGGAGCGGGGCTCTCTGTTCTGACATTACTTTTAATAAGACTTGCTGCTTTAGTTACACATGAAAACATATTTTCTGCTCAAAATGCACCAAATTGTTCAATCAGAAATCCTAATCCATAAAATTAGCTTACTGTAATAATAAAAAGTGATGCTGGAGAGCCTAACTGGAAAACACAAATATTCCCTACATGTTGCAGGAAAATGGAAGTTGACAGTGAATATCTGTCACTGTTTAAGTCAGGCAGAGCAAACTTAAAGCTTTATCTGGTCTTTTTAGTTAGAAACCTAGAATTTTAGTAGGGTTTATTATTGATTTCTTGCAGCGTACTGAGTTCTGTTGTTTTTCTTTTAAGCTGGTTTGTTCCTCTGAACAAATTGTATTTAATGGGAGAAATGCCTCTTTTGATTGTAAAGGTTGCAGACCCCAGCTTTATTGCCAAAAACACCTTTTTTACAGCATATTCAGACACAAAAAGTGCATTTACAGAAAAGTTTTGTTCTTAACTTTCCACACTGCCAGTTGTATCTAAAATGACTCTGACAAACAGTGCAGACCAGGCTGTCGCCTGTTTGGTTCCAGTTTATCAGATGAGGTCAGTTGTTATTTTGGGCCACACATGTGATGCTCTTATGGGAACCCCCAAACCACAGAGCCTCCCCTCCTCACTAATCCGTAAACTGAATGTGAAAGACAGCCCTGAAGAAAATATTTGTCTATTTTAATTGTCATGAATATTTCATGTTTATCAACAGTTTTGTGTTCTTCTATGTGTGGTGTAAAAGCTGCCTAATACGAGTACCCTTTAATAGTTTTTAGTGCTGCTGCTTTATCAGATTGAAACAGTTAAATGAAAGGCCTATTCCTTGAAAGGATGCATGTAGCAGTTTTGGTCAAACTTTATAAATGATACACAGTCTTGTGCAATATTGTGAGATCTTGCAACATGTATTTGCACTCAGAGTAGCTGTTGTGAATGATGCTCAGCTGCTACCACATCAAGTTTTTACTGGATATCTGTTAAGCTGGCTGAGTTTTAGCCTTTTTGTTTGCTAAGGTTGCTTGGCTGAATAGGGTTGACTTTGAAAGATACGGTAAATCAGCATTTAACATACATTCAGTGATTCTACATACTGATTTTTTATTTCCTGACAGTTTGCCTGCAGCAGAGAGAAACTGGAGAACTGCGTGACAAAAAACCTGAACAGCACAGCGACTCTTTGCCTGCTTCACAACCTGACCAAAACAGCTGAGGATGGTTTGACTCTGTGTTCCAGTCAGACTCGGCCGTGTCATTTCCCAGAGGTCGGTCCTCCACTTGTTTGCATTTTTAGTATTTCTGTTTGCCCAGTGAAACATATGTTGGAACAAAAATAAAAAAACTGTATTTGATGTGACAGTTGAATGGTAACTAAATCGTTCAAGTTAAAATAAGCAGAAGGGATACTTATATCAGCAAAACAATAGCTTAAAGCTAAAATCAGCAGCACCAGAACAAAAAGCTAAAACTAGCAAAACTGTTGTTGAAAGATACAATTTGTCAAAGTGGCTAAAATTTGTAGAACAAAAACAAAAAAGATTAAAGAAAAATATCGCTAAGTTGTAGCAAACAGCTATAATTAGCAAAGAGCTATTATCAACAAATTGCTAAAATAATTAAAACTGTAGTTTAAAGCTAAGATCAGTGTAACTAGAGCTAAAAGCAGCATCAGCAACACCATAACAAAGCTAAAACTAGCAAAACTGTTGCTGAAAGATACAATTTGCAAAACCGTAGCTTAATGCCTTAAATACCAAATCAGTGGCTAGATTGAGCAAAACAGAAGCAAAAAAAATGTTGCTGAGTTGTAGCACACAGCTGTAATTAGCAAACAGCTTTAATTAGCAAAAGGCTAAAATAATTAAAAATGTAGCTTAAAGCTAAAATCAGCAAAACTACCAATATTAGCAAAAATTGTAGCAAAAGATTACAATGAGTAAGACGGTAGTTAAAAGCTTAAAAGAACTTCCTTAGACAAAAATAGATGAAGTCCAAACACTAAAAGTCTAAGCACACTATCCCTGATTGAGTCAAATGTATCGGCATATGAATGATTAAAACAGCACACAGTGTGCAGAAGTGGTTTGGAAGAAACTTTAAACCTAAAAACATTAGTGTGAACGCTGCATCAGCACTGACAGAAGAATCACTGTAACCCTGTCTTTTCCTGGCTGCAGTATTTCAGCTACAGCGTACTGCTGACCCTGCTGGCCTGCTCCGTGTTCCTCCACATCAGCAGCATCGGGAAGCTGGCCCTGATGCTGCTCATTCAGCTCGTCTTCCTCGTGCTGGTGGAGTGGCCTCAGGTGGCCCTGTTTGACAACGCTGACCTGCTGGTCACTGCCAAAACGCTGTAAGTCCGCTGCCAAGAACACTCACAGATTTACTCTTGTCCTAATATGCAAACCTAATACTTAAGTTAGGTGTCTCTATGCTATGGTTTAGGTAGGAAACGGCCTACTTTTTCAAGGTTTAGAAAGTAAAAGACCTACTTGTGAATGTTAAGTCCTATTTTTGAATATGTTCTCATTTTTTTCCTCAGGCAATTATCACCTGTTAATGATTCGCTGCAACAGTAAGTTGTATCTTGTGTTTTGTTCTACTTTATTTAAATGGTTCATGTGATTAGTAGGTTTGACTTTCTCTTGTCTTTGTTCCAGACTTAGTTTCAATGAAACTGCAAAACAGTGGTAGGGAGCTATCATTAGTTTTTTATCCTGACATTTATTTGTTTGCACCAAATAAATGCACTGATTCATAACTCTTTGTCTTCTCAGCCTGGAGAATGTGACTAAAGTACCCCTAAAGGTCATGATTCCCGTAATCCTGATGGTTTTTGTTCTAGCTCTCTACTTGCATGGCCAGCAGGTGGAGTCTACTGCACGCCTGGATTTCCTCTGGAAGCTGCAGGTAAAGTGTTTCAAATATTAAGAAAAAAAAAACTAAATATCTTTTCTAACAGATGAACCATTGGGTATATTTTAAGGAAATTTTCTCAAAGCAATAATTAGATCTGAAAAACTTTTGGAGTCAATCCAATTTAAGATAGCTGACACATATCTCAGCACAGATAGTAAGCTAAAATTGTGGGTGACCTGTTTTTTTTGTCACAAAAAGGCCTGTTTTTAAACCATTAACTAGTGAAATAAACATAGTCTGTGCCCAAATTCAGTGGCTGCGTCCTTCAAAAGACATGACCTACCTGATCTACATGGGCCAGGTTCTTTCTCTACCGCAAAGACCTCCCAATAATCTGAGTGACTTTTTTGTCTCCTCTAAGGCCACAGAGGAGAAGGAGGACATGGAGGAGCTGCAGGCGTACAACCGCCGTCTGTTGCACAACATCCTGCCCAAAGATGTCGCCGCCCACTTTCTAGCACAAGAGCGTCTCAATGACGAGTTGTACTATCAGTCGTGTGAGTGTGTCGCCGTCATGTTCGCCTCCATCAGCAACTTCTCAGAGTTTTATGTGGAGCTGGAGGCAAACAACGAAGGGGTGGAGTGTCTGAGGCTGCTCAATGAGATCATCGCAGACTTTGACGAGGTACGATGTTCGGTAACTAATGCGAGAGAGAAAACTGATAAGATWAGCCGTGTGAGATGGGAAGTGAAACCAGGAAAAAGACGTATTTTCTGAAAAAATGCAAAGTAAATACTGAGTGCTGAATGACTTGAAATTTGATGAAGCAGCTCGACCTGAGTTGTTATATTTAAACCAATCAGAACTGAAGCTAAAACTGACAAAACCATAGCTTGAGGCTAAAATTTGCAAAACATTAGCTAAAACTGGCAAAACAAATGCAAGCAGAACTGTTTCTAAAATTATCATAACTAGCTAAAAGCTAAAAGGAGAAGAGTGGTAGTTAAAAACTTAAAGAAGTAAAACGGTAGCCAAAATATTGAAAAAGTAAATCAGTATCTAGTAGGGGTGCAGAAAACACCAAAACAAAGAGGAAACTACAAAACTGGAGGAAAGAGAGATTCAACGGCCCCGTCTTCATTGAATGTTAAGAGTTGGGCTCATTTTGGTTTTTACTGAATGAGTCTAAGTTTGATATGAGCGAGGTGAGCGAGGTTTGCAAAATGAAGATGAAGCACTTTGGGAACACGACGAATGGGCTCACATTATCAGTTTTGAATGAAAAATCGATTTAGAATCGATTCGTGGCCCCAAAAATCAGAATTGAATCAAATCGTGAGAGAGTAAAAGAATCCCACCCCTAGTAGCTAGAAGTTTAAAATAGCAAAGTCAGCAAAACCGTAATTAAAATTTACACAACTGTAGCTAAATGTAAAATGAGAAAAACTGTAGTAACTCAAAAAATCAGAAAGGTTAGCTCAAAGTAGCAAAGGAATAGCCAAAAGCTAAAAATGGCAGAAGGGTAGCTAATAGTAGCACACTGGTAGCTAAAAGCTATCATAAGAAGACAAAAATATAACAAGCACATTTCAAAGAAAACAATGTTTTTGAAAGAATTCAAAGGATGCTGATGTATTTCTATGGAAATTAAAATTTTAATTAAAGTAAAATATTTTGTAAAATCTTAACAATTCCAAAAACAAATTACATCACACACTATTACTTATCAAGCTGAACATTTTGATATAGTATAAATGGTTAAAATGGCAGAAAATATGCAGAAGGGATTTGCTTGAAGAAATAAATGTAAACATTACAACAGGAGCGTGACTTGCTTTATGCTGCTGGAGTGTGATGTTCTTACACTTGCTCTCATTTTCTCTCCTTGTGCGTGGCTGATTGCATGGTCTCTAGATCATTAGTGAAGAGAGGTTCCGTCAGCTGGAGAAAATCAAAACCATCGGCTCCACCTACATGGCAGCCTCCGGCCTCAACGACTCCACCTACGACAGAGAGGGCCGGTCGCACATCCTGGCTCTGGCAGACTACGCCATGAGGCTCAGGGAGCAGATGAAATACATCAACGAGCATTCCTTCAACAACTTCCAGATGAAGATAGGTAAGCCTGGAAGATGGAGGAAACTGTTCGGGACACTTTATCTGATAATTCTTCCCTGAACAGTCTTTGTTGGGTTAGCTATGGGCAAATTAGACTGATGTTCTTTTTTTTTTTTTAGAGAGACCGTGTTGTTGTGGTTTTCTTTAAATGACTGAAGCCTCACAGCTKCACTGTTTGTTGTCAGGATTGAACATGGGGCCTGTTGTAGCCGGGGTGATTGGAGCCAGGAAACCACAGTACGACATCTGGGGAAACACAGTCAATGTGGCCAGTCGAATGGACAGCACCGGAGTACCAGACTACATCCAGGTATCTTGATTTTAACCTACCATCGAAGGGGGTTACAGTTTTTTTCTTTGTCACTGTGTATGTGATCATTTGTCTGCACTTTTAGTGAAATGCTTCATTAACCAGCAGACATGTTCATTGGATGTACTTATAAAACAGAATAACTTTTGGAGTAAACAACATTTAAGATGGCCACTTCAGCTGAGTGACCTTAACAAACACATATAGTTCAGCCAGTTTGTGGCTGAGCATGACACATACTATGAGCACAACACATTGTACAACATTTTTGCCTGAATTTTTGTTACATTAGCTGTTGATTAACAGTTGTTAACAACCCTTGCTCAGGCAGGTTTCCTCCAAAAAAAAAGTCGTCAGAGTTTTTGCTTTAAGTTTCACAGTTTATCACATACTCGTTGAACCTTTTAAACATCTCCTCTGCAGAGGTCAAACTCCCTGTTAGTACCAGACGTCCTGTTCACTTCCAGAAATTGTGCTTTAAAGRTTTTTTGGGTGTAGACCGAAATTTAAATTTCCTCCAGAGGCCATGCATCCACCACAACGTGATCATCATGCAATTCATAAACATTTAGCAGATGTTCTAAAATCTGAGTTTTCCACAATGCAGGCCGAATGGATTTATAAAACATGAGGAAGAACAACGCTGCCATCTGTAGTAGACTCAGTGTTACTGCCAATTAAAATACCATCATATTCAGAACAAAGKGACTTATTACTTTTTTGTTAAAGTCTTGTAAATATATGTAGCTTTGAAGTCTGTTAAAAGGTACTTAAGTTTTTTTCCCCATATTTAATATTTTCAAATTAAAACACAGATTTGAGGTTCTGTGTAGTGCAATTTGGTTTTAGTGTTTTCTATATCTGGATGAGTATGGAAAAAAATAAAGATAACATATTAAGACACTACAGACTGATGCATTTTTTAAAAATATAAACAATTCAAACGTTCAAAAAATACAAAATGAACGTTTTATTAAAGAAGACTTCAACGTTTTATTAAAACCATAAACTTATTTGAACAAAGTTTTTTGTAAAGTCTTATGTTTTGCTTATTTTATGTTTAGAAACTGCATAAAACCATACAAATGTTTGCACTTAAGTTGAGTGGAACTAGTTGAAATAATTTTATTTATATCCACTATATGTTTTTTGAGTGTTTAAAATTATCCATTTGAAGAAAATTTGATTTTAAAAATTACGAAATTCCAAAATGGAAAGAAAATATTGTATAAACAATCCTGTGAAATKTTTATAACTGGATTTTTGTCTGAATTTGTCTCTATTGAGCTGAAATTAATTAGACCAAAACTGTGTTTTCTTAAGTGTTTATAATTTTTTTATCAGGTGCCTCCTTTTGAAAAGATTTGAACTATCCATTTTGTTATTGTAGTAAAAATCTGTGATATCGCTTCAGGGAGATTGTTGAGAGTGAAGCTGGTTCTGTTCTTTAGCAGGGTTAAATCTCCTAATCTTTGTGTCCAATGTCCAATCCAAGGTGACCACAGACCTGTACCACGTGTTGGCCAACAACGGATACCAGCTGGACTGTCGCGGCCTCGTCAAGGTGAAGGGGAAGGGGGAGATGACCACCTACTTCCTCACCAGCGGCCCCCCGGGTAGTTAACGACGTGTCGACCGACCAGAGGGGGCACTCCCACTGCGTTGATGAGACCGAGTGCTCAGCTTGACGATGAGCACAGTTCAGACACAGCGGGGACGGGGGGACGAGGCCGACAGAGACGGGTCCACGCGCTTGACCCTCTCTCAGATGCACACACGTAGGTCGTTGATCGCGTCCCGAGGCTTTATCTCGAGCCGTCCAAGAGATCACGAAGCCCAGTTGCCTTAGGATGGAAGTGGCTATGCTTGTGTTAAGGAGCAATAGTACAACTATTTCATCTGGAGCCTTTATTTATTTTTGTGTCACAAAAAAAGCAAAACAAAACTGTCTTTTTTGGGGGAAATAAATGTATGCAAGGAATCGTGATGGAGAAGAATAACCAAAGAACAAACAATTGATTTGGATCACACTGATAATTCTGCTCAAGAGTACAACAAACTCAGCTCTAATATTCCTCTTTGAAGAGCAAAGGCCACGGTAACGTCTTGTCATTGACAGGGTTGAACTCCTCATTTTGTTGTTGATTGAGAAGAACGCACAGATATGCAGACTGAAAACACAATAACCTTGATTTGGACTTTTGTGTTTCTTATCAGGGCCTTTTTTTTCCCCTTTGTTCTTTCCAGTCTGATCATCCACAAGACTGTTTGTAGTTTGGTCAAATGTACGACCGAACACTCGTTCTCTGCCATGGATTTAGAGTTTGAGGAAAAAAATCAAGAAGTGCAAAATGAAGAAGGAAGAGTTGTGTTCAACAGAGATTGTAAACTCGTTATAAAGCATTTTACGTGTGTGTGAGCTCTGTATGTGTGTTTGGGCACATGTTACTGAGTGCTGATCTGTAAAGGGGCCTACCGAAACTTTTCACTGTGAGATTTTTTTATGATCTGCTTTCTTGCCAAACGTTTTTGCTGCGAAGGCACGTTTTATTCGTCATAGCTGTGTGTCCATTCCTAATTTTTTTTTTGAGTCAGAACRATGTTTTTAAGAGGATTATGTCCCTTTATGCGCCTTTGCCCGACTGTGATTTATGACTGACTTCATTCCAAATGAAACAGAAGCTGCGTTTTGGAGGAGATCGGGTTTAGAAGTGAACGACTCTGAAGATGAAGTGCACAGACTCTCCGTCTGCTATTTGCCTTTGATAATAATATTCAGCACCAACGTCAGCGTACTTCATGGGCCAACATTCACAACATTATCAGTATTTGACCCCAGTTTGTAGACGAACACAAGAAACTTGTTTGAAGCTAWATGATTAAATGAATGTATGCAATAATGAAGATTTTTTTGTTCACACTACTGAAAGAAGCTTTTAGGTCAAACACTTTGTACTATTCATCTGCTAAAGGAATAGTCCCAGGCTCTGAAATGCTGATCAGATAATCATATTTTCGTTGTTTGTTTCTGTCCTTTTAAAGAGGAAAAAGCCAAGTAAACACATTTGCAATCAACGTTTAAAACAACGGGTGCAATGATCGATTCACTTATATTCCTTTATTAAAAGAAATCAATAAATGTCTCTTTTTTTTGCACTGCTGTGTTTGATTTCCATTCATTTAAACACAAAAATGAAAATATGTAAAAAAAACACTTTCCTCCTCTTGAGTTGGCTTTCGTGCTCCCTCGTGTCAATCTGCAGCCTGCAATCAAGACTGTGTCGTGTGACAGCAACCCGAGAGCTGCGCCCAGTTCTCGGGCTACAGTTTCAAGCGGGTGGTACTGGAGAGAGTATTTAATTGCTTGTGCATGAATAATGCATTTCTGATGAGGTTATTGCTATGTTCACTTACAGCACTCCATGGTGATCATTAATTAAGTGACATAAATTCCTCCCTAATCCCTGACGAAAAATGGACTAATGTTACTCCAATAGATACACGACACAGGGACATGAGCTGCATTATATTCACAGGTGTTTTAGCTGCTCCTGTGTCATACTCTATCCGATAACAGGAYGTTAAACTTACTACATCAGGAAATGTAATAGTTTATTGAAATATAGGTTTTCTGGCACAGATTGAAATATTAATATCAATTAAAGACTTTGAGCATTTTTTAAATCCGTTACTAATAAATGAAGAATCTTCCTGGTGGCTTTAAGAACAGACCAGAGTTGATGGCACGTCAAAAACCTAAACGTTCAAGAAAAGTTTGTGAAAGTATTCAGTTTATTTACAATACTGGGCAAAAATCTTTCTTTTTTTAATATAGTTTGCTTCCAAGCAGTCAGACTTTCCTGTAAGATTGTAAAATGTTTTTGATTTATTTTTCTTCAAGCATTTTTGAGAACCATTTTTTCTTTTCTTTGGACTTTGCTTTTTCACCTCTTCTCTAATTCCTGACAATATTTTAGGGGAAATTGCTTTTCTTTCTTTGTTTAAGCCAATTGACTCGGATCTGACAATCAATCAGGCACAAATCAGCTTTTAAACTGCAGGGATAATGTAGAACTGTGGTTTGAGCATCTTCCAGYGGGGTCAACCAGGGTCTGATCCCCACCATGCTGAAGTGGACTGTACCCCCCGTTGGTCTCAATATCCTCATTGGTTAATGAGTGAAATGTGTTGTTTTTATAGAGTGATATGTGAATATAGGTAAATGTAAATTGTGATCACGTCGTAGAAGTTCGGTAAGTTAAAAATATTTTGTACAGGTGTGAAAATTTTCAAAACAAATATTTTATATCGGCCTAGAGTCTTCGGTCTTATATCTCTGTYATTGGATGTTTGTCATAAAAACATAAACAACTAAAATTATTTTAAAATCTTTGAAAAATACCAATGTTAATACAAAAAAATAATATTTTAACGCGAGCAAATTGATTCCCCAAAAAAAGGTTTAGCTCAAAACTAAACATACAACAGAAGTGTGATGTGCGTTACAGGATTTTGTTTTCATTTAATAATAATTTCATTTTTTTTTCTTCCAATAATTGTTCATCATAGATTTTAGGTGGTCCACTCCTTCTTCACTTTCCTTCTTTTTGAGCACATGGTATTAAACTCTGGTACAAGGGCTCAACATCTAGTAATTAAAATGAATAAATAAAAAAAACTGCCAGCTTTAAAAGACTGTTGTATAAGATGCTCCTAAGGTAAGTAGCCTATAAAGAAGTTATTAGTGGTTTAAAACTTTTGCACAGAGCTGTATAAAAACCTCATCACATAAATGTAAAAAAAAACACATTTGAAAAAAATTTAAAAAACAACTTTCTCGCTCAAGAAATCCAACTTCTGTTAAGTTTTGTTCCCTAAATGGTGTTTTTCTTCGCTGCCTCTCTCTGATTGGCTGCCTTCACGTGATGAATAGTTCGGGCCGCGCGCGACGACCAGCAGGGGACTCACTTTAAACATAAATCTAGATTTTAATGGCACCTGTTGTTCCGTCACGGTATGCCACTACCTCCAGCGCGAGCCCGAGCGAACGAGCAGAACCGAACCGCGGGGTCGGTTTTGGCGGGACGGACAGGACAGGAGCAGAGGACAGGTGTGGCGCGACAACAGCATCCTTTGAGTTTCAGGTAAGGATTTCTGTAACTTTTCACACACACACACACACACACACACACACACACACACACACACACACACACACACACTCATTATCATCGACTTCCGGAGATTTGTACTAAACATGAAGTTAAGTTGTTTCTCTCAGCTAAAGAAAAAAACAAAACAAAACAAA